CGCCTTCTCAGGAGGCTCTGTCTTCCCTTGAGGACTTTCTGAGTGCACAGAATCCAGTTCCTAATGTGACCATTTGGCTGTACATGAAAGCTTTGTTTGCTCCGTTTCATTATAAATGCATTAGATGGCAATGGCAAACCTGATTTGATATGCAGAGGACACTAGTCTGTGAAGAGCAGTAGTTTGTAAAATAACCACAGATGAACATCAGGATGTGGATTATAATAGTGATAATGTCTGGAGTTAGAGGAAAGGACAATTTATCTTATCCTGAAGACAGCATGTTCCCTAAAATGCATAGCTGTCTTAATATAATATCATCACCCAAAAGATGCTGTTTGTGAACTAAGAGAGCTCTTTGCTATCCTAAATCTTACAGTGGTTACTACCAGGTAGCATTCAAGAGCTAACATTAATATTCACTGGGAAGGCTGTCATACCTTAGGAACAAAGCACTTTAATGTGTCTCATGGATGTTTTAGCTGATGAGTAATGTGTAAAGCCAGGAAGTTTCACAAACCTCCAGTCTGCTCCTGTTCGTACTTTTTTGAATTATGTATGAAACTCTGATCTGAAATATGTTGGTATTGACAAAATATTTAACTTTAGGGTTTTTTTGTAGAATTCACAGATTGTTCCTGCACAGTGAATGCAGAAATTGCAACTCATTCTGGCTCTTTATATTATTTGTGTAATGATTTAAGAATATTTTATAAAGAAATATTAGTTGGAAAATTCCTTTTTGGTGTACGCACTGTTTAGACTATTTTTCTTCTTTTGGTCTTCATAACTCTATCTAAGTCACAGGTAAACCTTAGCATCTATTAACACTTTTTAAGCAGAAATTACCCCTAATGGAAAGGGAAAGGACAGCTGAAATTGAAACAAAACTGCTAACAAAAAGAAAAAAAGATCAGTCACTAAAAAGTAGGATCTTTACAGAGAAAGCTTACTTAAAAGGATGTGAGCCTTGAAATGTTTCACAAAATAGTACTCGTGAGCAGTGCTGTCACACTGGTACTTGTTTGTAAGGTCTAAACATGGTCACAGTGACTGTTCTAGAAATAACAGATCTAATCCCTTCCAACTGCCACTTGGCCGCAGAGCAGCAACACAACTGCAGCCCGTGTGCCAGCATCAGCTCTCTGAAATGCTCCTGAGTTTGGTTCGTGGTTCCTGTGATGGTGCCTGCTCCACCTCTGCCGAGTTACAGACTGTGCCGTGTTGTGCCCATGTGATCATGGTTTTGCTGAACTCTTTGAAAAGTGCCCCAGTATCCACGAGCTTGCCTGCAGGATTTTTTGCTGACCTATTTTGACAGAACATGTTGGGGGTTTTGAGTAGTTTAATTGCAGTAGAGCTGGCTTACCTTTTAGCATTGTACACTGTTTGAAATGATAGAAATTACTTTATTGAGAGAATTTGCACTGAGCAGTGTTCCAGGTGTTTCACAGCCATTCTTGAGATGTTTCCCTTTCAGGTTGGATTTTGGAAAGCAGGAGAACTTATTTTTGATCCAAGCTGTCCAAGCTATTACTCTTATGTAGAACCGTGAAAATGTTACAAAACTTGAGTGAGATGCTAGTATGAAATCTGAACTTCATGGGCCAAGGGAACCCCATGAAGAACATACAGCTGTCTAAGTATAAGCCGAATAATAGCAAGGAAATCCCGATTCTTACTTGTTTATGATACAGAAAAGTCAGTAGCCTTCAGGCTGTGCTTACACATGTGTCAGCAGCATCCTCTAAGCTGCCTTAAGCAGTCTCTATCCCTGTTATTCCTGTTTCCATCTGCTTGCTGCAGTGCCAGCTCAGAGGTTCATGCAGTTACTCACAGAACTGAGACTTGGGTGGGTGCAAGTACCAGTAACAATGAGGAAGAGCTAGAGGTGGAGAACATGTAAGGTGGCGAAGCAGAAGCTGCCCAAGTTTTGCTCATCAAGCTGTAACTTTGCAGTGTGGATGTCTAACTCTGCAATGTTAAGCATTTCAGCATGCTGCAGTCAGTGCCATGTCCTGCTTCTGTCAAATTCCTTTGGGCTTTAGAAGTCACTGATGTAAGAACAGTGATAGTGATGGATCTCGTTGGCATCCCGCCAGCACCGTGCTTTGGGAATTCCCACTTCAAACTCAATATAAGCAGCTTTCAACTCTTCACTAGTCCTTCTGGGAAAGGGGAAAACCCATTAAATTTGTTGTCATCACAAGTTTTGAATTGCCCTTGCGACAGCAATAGAAATCTGCAAGTAAGCTGATACTATCTTGCATAAAGCATACAGGTTTCTTGTAAGCATTAATTTACAATCTTAAGCACATTCGGTGGGTTTTAACCATGACTGAAAGGCTTTTAGGCATCCTACTGCTGAGTTTAACACAAATGTATATGGGGGCATATACATTAGCATCATTCACTGGTCATGTTTTACAAATTGGTGAGGAGAGGATAGAATGTATCAGGCAAGTTGCTGTGTATCTACCAAAATAAGGAAACGTAACCTTGCTGCTTAAGCATCTTGCAGCAGTAGCTAGTTTAATTTAAACTGAAACCGAGATGCTTGTGAAGATGCTTCTTTCAAAAATGATTGTCTAATTTTGATTCTTTTTGGAGGGGGTGACGTTGAATATAAACTATCTTGGAAGAGGTAGGAAACATGTCTCAGTTTTGCAACCTGCTATATTTAACTTAACTGTTTTCTTAACGTTGTTCTTGCTCCCCTTGGAATCTTAGGGTTTTTTGTTTTTTTTTTTAAGTGACTGCATAAACTCTCAGATATATGAACGTTTTTAGTAGCATAATTGCTGGCAAAATACTATGTAAGAAGACAACTTGAAAACCTTTAAGTTTTATGTAACTTTAATATACTTAGACTTGGCAGTATCTTCTACTAAGTTTCCTTCCTTCTCCAAACTGTGGAGCTGTTTGAATAGCAGCAGAGATGATCTAAATCTTCTGAAATTAATTTTGCATAGCTAATATTAAAAATATTTTGCACAATGTTATGAATATTAACCAAAGTAAATGTAACAAGAAGTTGAAATTCCTGAATATGGTATTTTTTAAAATCTGTCTGTCAGTTGGTTTAAATTTCTATTGGAGGCTGTCACATTAAAGCTTGGACAGGAAATAGCTTCCTGCATCAGTTGTTAGTAAAGCATCAAAATCTGGTAGTTCTGGATCGTGCTCCGAAGAGCGGGGCCAGGAGAGGGAAGCTTTAAACTGACAATCTGTTACTTCCTCCCTTCCCTGTGCAGACTGGCACTTTCCAAAGCTTTGCCAGGCTCCGTTTGCCAGGCTGTGTTGGAGAAGCGGTGGCAGAAAGCAGCTTTCCATGGGGATTTTATGTGCACGGCCAAGCCTGTTTGGAAGTCACTTTATTGTGTGTTTACAGCCTCATGCAGAGGTAATACAAGAAGCTGCCTCTGAAAATTTAGGGTACAGGTGTGTGTAGCTCATAATGTTCACTTAATAGTAGCCTTTAGGGGTTTTTTTTCTGTGTATAAACCTAATAAAAATGGCAAAAATGAAAACATTCAGTCTGGACTGATGTGCAAATGAAATGAATCACCAGCTTGGATGTATTCTAAGACATTTTGTGTCGTTTTGTGACAGAAGCAGCTGGTCAACTAATGCCAGCGCTTGCAGACTTGAACGTCTGCTGTGAATGTAGGATCTGCCTTTCCGAGCGGATCTGAGAGCGACTCCAGAGAGTCAGGGGGACTGAACTGCCGGCCTTTCCTCATCTCTGCAAGAGATGGACTCGAAACAGCCCTGAAAGGTCCTGGGAATGAAACATCAAAAATCTAAAGCTGGGCTCTAGCATCTGGCAAGTCTCTCTGCAGTACCTGAAGCCAAGAAGAACTGAAACCCTGAGCCCTGAACTAGAAATTGGGGCTTCAGAGCCCCTCGAGCTTTGCTTCTCTGGCAGAGAAGATTGTTGGCCAGTCTCTACTGGGGATTTAGTGACTCGGGAATTAAAGATCAGCAGTGTGAGCGGGGCAGCCTTAAGGGATGAAGTATCCTGAAAGGTTGAGCTGAATGAACCGCTTTTTAGTGCATCTTGGGTGTTGAAAGATTCATATACCAGCCGTTTGGCACTGCCAGAGAATGGAAGCCCAGTGAGGAGACCTGGTGCAGCGGAGGCAGCATTTCTCTTTGTATGAAATTAGTGTCTCGATAAAGAAGTTTTGAAGTTCAAAGGTTTTGCTTTATCCTCACAACAAATTCAGAAGATTTGTTTGACCAAAACCGCTGTTAGCCCTCTTGAGCCTATAGATAGGTAGGCAGATATGGTGTCTTTTTCTTGCTGTTGCAGTTGCCCTTATTGTACAATTTAGCATTCGATTTGAACATTGATATCCTAGTTGATACATTAGTTGAACTAAGGTAGAAGTTGAACACCTACATGAGCAGATGTGACAGCCTCATCTTTTCTTGGAACATCATGAAATTTGATTTCCATTCCATGAAGTTTTTATTTGGTGTAGGAGAGTTCTCTTTGATTACTGTAGTTCAGCAGAATCCTGGTAATTCAGCTGATCACAAGATTAGCCTGTGCTGGGAGTCTCCTTCTCTGGAGACCTTCCAAACTCGCCTGGATGCTGCCCTGTGCCCCGTGCTCTGACAAATCAGAATAGCAGAAATTGTTTGCCTTCTACAGTCCTACAATGTTCTTTGATGCTGACTCATCTAGACCCCTGCTCTTTAGTTTGGATACTTTTGTCTTAGTAATTGTAGACTTGCAACTTTTTAGTTAAAGGATGGAAAAACAGAAAGCTGTTTCTTGAACTCCTGAAATATCAACAGCCTGTACTTAAACTATGTAGAGGTCTAAGTGGTCAGTATTTTTGCTGAGTTCTGGTCGTGCCTGTGCATCTGTTTACTCAGCTACCTACCATCAGTCAATTCTTTGCTAGGACTAACTTTTCAGTTTTTAAGAAATTTTTATTCTTTTTTCCCCCAAAGAATGGTTCATCTTAATATTCTGTAATTTTGTACAGGTATCAGATGATGGTCGATACGTCCTGCTCTCCATCCGAGAAGGGTGTGATCCTGTGAACAGGCTGTGGTACTGTGACCTCCAAACAGAGTCTCAGGGTATATCAGGTACCTATCTTCTTGCTTTCTAACTTTTTTTTCAGTTTAAGACATTATACTTTATATATTATGTAGATGTAATGTATGAATTGTTATATATGATGTAATGTATATATTGCTTACCCTCTTTCTTCGATGCATAGTTGGTGTTAAAATGCACAGTGCTAACTTTGAGGTTCCTTTGTTATGTATCAAGGGATGGAAAAGTCCATTCTTAGTCCATTAGTGTGTTTGAAAAAATCTTGAGGAAAATTGAGATAATGCCAGGAGCCCTCAGGAGTGTTTCATTTCTTTTCTTGATTACTAGTACTTTACCATTTTTATTTTTTTCCATGTTCTAAAAATATGTAATGCTTTTCCTGGGATGTAGTGGTCGGTCTTCTTAAAAAGATCCCTGGTTTGTGTATTACTTGTTTTTTTCTCTATGCACTACTAAGAAACATCAACAAAAAACCTCAATTTAGAATAATAATGATTTACTCCGTAGCATTGTTATTCTGAAAGTAGCATTACTACTGATGTTTGGAATACACATTTATTTGTTTCATTTAATTCTAGTGAGATTAGCTTTTGTTATTTGTGTAACTGGTCTTTTAGTCTGGATAGTGGCTCAGTATGTACAGAAATCATAGTACTTTGCTGCCTGTGGCTTTTTTGGATGGCTGGTAGAGTTAGTTGTTTTATCACTCAATGTTTTTATACTTCCACAGTATTTGATTATTGGTTTGTTTTTGTTTGTTTTTTATCTTTGGGGATAGAAAAACTACTGTAGTAGCTTCTTTTTAAATACTGGATCTCAAAAAACTTGCTCTCTTCTCCATAAACAGAATATTTGAGGCTTCTGAGGCTGAGTGGACTGATAGCATGCCCAGAACATGGGTTGTGTGTTTTGCTTCTGCCTGTGAAGTGCTGTTGCTGTCCCACGTGGTTGTTCTGGCCTTGCCTTAATTAGATGGTCAGCAGACCATAGTGCACGAGCTGGAAGTTCGGGGAGTTATACTTGGTGATGACACTTTCAAATGAAATGGCTTAGTTGCTCCTTTAAACTTCTTGGTGGGCATGTCACTCTCCTCTTCTACAAATAATATTTTCTAGCTACTTTAGATCTTGGACAATTGAATAGCTGTTTAATGTCCTCTCTAAAGAAGAACATGTCAGGCCTAGTGAATAATTTTAGGATACTTTCCATGCTATTTTATTAAAATCATAAAACAGCGTATATAAACTGTATATAAACTGTTTACTGCAGTTGAAACTGCAGTGAAGCATTTCCCTAAATGATGAATTACATTGTCATTCAGGTTGATACTTTCCAGTTAGAGGTAGAATGCACAAAAGCGTCGCGCTCTTCACCTTGTCACTGCGCGCTCCCCTGTCTCCATGTCTTGATTTAAGACCTGCATTTAATTGCTCTTTTCTACAGACCACACGGTGATATCTCAAGGTAGGTTGAAGTGGGTTAGGATCGTAAGTAGTTCTCTAAGGGTATCATAATGGAAGCACCTGTCTTAAAATATATATATATTTATTTATTTATGTATATAAAAATACCCGTTTTACAAGAATACTGCTTTTTCTCATGGTATTTGTAGAATGCAGTGTTTGCTACAAGGAACAGTGTAAGTGATAAACATCTGTTAAAAAGTGTTAAGAAAATGAAGACTTTTTTTAGAAAGGTGTCCGTGTTTTTGAAGTATGTGGGCTTATCCTTCCATCTCTCAAAACAGGATTATTAGAATGAGAAGACTTTACACATTTGTTGATAACTAAGATACTGCTTACTGTTTTTTTGTCCTGTGTAATATTGAATGCTTAATCTGAGCCTTTGTAGATGGGATGCGGTGATTTCCATCTTCAAAAATCCATTCTAGTCTAAAAATAGTTCACTTTTTAATAAACAAAAGGAGGGTAGTTAATGTTTTTCCAGCGTTCTAGATGGCATCTGATACGTGTCTTGGAAAAAACAAGGTGGATTTTTGGACACATTTTCTCTTCCTTAGTTGCGCTTTCAATCCAGAGTGCTCCAAGAATGTGCTGGTTCTTAGCAAATATTCCTCTGCTTGTAGTTTAGATTTTTCAAGTCTCAAACTTTTTTAGACTCGTTCAGAAGACATTGAACCTTGAAAGCAATGAAGCTTTTTCGAAAGGTAACAGGTGATAATGTTTTGCATGGCAGTCGTTACTTACCTCGCGTATTCCTTTGGAAGGAATTGAAGACCTGTAGGTGAAGGGTAATGCAGGAGATCCTGATTGTTCTGAAGCCTGTGCTGAAACCCTCGTTACAGAGGGACGCACTTGAGCAGATTGGTTTTAATGCTTCTCTGTAACACACCTTGTTTGCAGGCAACTTTCTAATTACAAAGTCATGGATTTCTTGAATCGTGAATGATTTTTAAATGATTGCTTTCTGTCCCAGGGTAAATGATTGCTTTCTGTCCCATCTTTCACTGCCTTATTTGAAATGCTGCCTGCCAGGCTGCGAGTTGAAGAATTTTCTGTGGCATAGACAGAATGGCGCTGAAATACAGAGGACTCTGAGCTGTGATTTGTTACACACAAAGCCTGTGTCGAGATGCCATGTTAATCAAGTTAGGGGGCACCTCCCTTGATTTTGATTGCTCCCAGTCCATCCCTCTGCTATGGCGAGAGGTACCAGGCCTCCAAGTTGTGTAATGTTCTTTTGACTGTGTCAACACCTTTCCCAAGGTGAACACTGAAGGGCAAATTTCTTTTCCCTCTGATGCACTGAGACCTTTGTGGGGTTGGTTTCGGTCACTATTTCTGTGAGACAGTGGCCGCAACAGTAACTGCTGCGTGTTGCCCCGCTCGCTAACAAGTGGCTGTGAAAAGGTTATGAAGTTCAGAGCTACTAAATGCTGAAATCACAGGTTTGTCAGAACACTATTGGAATGCGTATGAAATGTGATTTATTGGGGCTATAGACCAGGATTATGATAAACCTCAATCTTCAGGATTAAAGTTTGTTTTAAGAGTAGTGAGCATGTACTCAGGATCTGCTGGAGCTTTAAACGAGTCAGTAGGAGCGGGAGAAGTTGAAATTTTAGGTTTTTGAAACAGTCTGGCTGTTCCCAAAAAGAAACGTTCAGATGCTGTGTTCGGGGAAGGCTGCACAGAGACACTTCCCTTAGCAATAACACAACTGTCATCAACACATTTATTGAACAAAAGGAGATTTTTTTTTCCTTCTCCGGAGCTGAATGATTATTAATTCTGTAGGAGCTGAATGATTATTAATTCTGTAGGACAGATGAGTATCTTAAATGGATTTAATCCAAACTCAGTATTTTTACTTAAGAGATGTTTTCATTGCACAGTGTTTGCATTGGTAGATTTTTGTTATCATTTGTTATGTCACACTTTGTCTGGTAATCTGGCTTATTAAAACAGTGAAAAGCCCAATAATGGGGGGATGGTAGTTCCCCCCAAACGTGGGTCCTTACTTTCCCAGAATTTAGTCTATTTTCGGAGTTTGTAGGTATGGTTTGATTTTTGAAGTATTTTTATTCCTGTTTTATGGGAAACAAAATCCGAGATAAAAAAACACCAGATGTTAGGGAGTGATGAGAAATTTGAAGAAAATATCTCTTTAAAGAATTATGTGATACATTTTCATCTTCTGCCTCTTAATCAGTAGTGATCTTCAAACTGACAGGAATCCAATTTCCAGGGCAGTTGGGCTCTAATTATCCTAATAACATTTCTGAATGCAGCTAATAAACAGATTCTAGATAAGGCTTTACAAACAAGTTGCATAATTAATTATTTCCCTGCTCACATGTTGAGAAATGAACTGAAGGCTAATGAAAGGCAGCCCCCACCTTATGTCAGTGTATTACCTGTGTCTTTTAGGTTGAATCCCCTGAAAAGGGGAAAGCAAGTCTGAGATACTGTTGGCACCCTCTGTGATTGCCCTGGTCAATACACTTCCTACTGCCTTTTCGTGTTGCCAAAACAGAGCCCTTGTGCAGAATTTGAAGGTAAAGAAGGGGAAGGAGCAACGAGGCATCGTTGTGTTCTTCCCAGTGGCATCTTCCTGCCACAAGTCCCTAATGTTTCACATCATCCCTGCTTTCCTCCATGTGCCGAAGCTCTCTTCCCTCCAAGACATGAAGACTGCAAAGGGAATGATGTTGGCACACGCTGTCCCCAAAGGGTGACTGCCCCTTGTCTGCTGTTGGCCACGTCAGGAGTGCGGTGGGGAGTGAGCTGAGAGTTGGGCACTGTGGGCAGTCGTGGGCCGCGCTCCAGACCTGAAGCCCAGACCTGAACAGCAGCAGCACAGAATGAGATAACCTGGAATAACTGCTGGAATGTTACCGTGGATTCCCTAATGGATCTCTCTGCCTTACGTCTGCAAGTCTTCCGCATAGTATGCACATGTTCTCTGTTCCCAATCTTACTTTCAGGCTGTTTTCTGTGGAAATAAGAGGTGTTTAGTCCCCTGACACAATTTGCCGGTGGCTTTTTGAACCCCCGGCTCCCAATTTCAGTCAAATGCACTGGAGAGGTGGGGGCTCTGGCAGTGCAGCCCCCCCAGAATGGCTCTGAGGCCAGGAGTGAAGGGAGGGCTTGTGCAGAGGATCGGGCAAGGAAAGGGCAGCAGCAAAAACTCGGTCCTGTTATAACTCAGACTCACTCAGGGGAACGTCCGTATGGATGTTCCAGAGGTAGGGAGAGTTTTGTAGGAATTTTGCCTTTGTAGGCGCAAGATACTCTTAAGTAGAGTTGTGTGACCTGTGGATTATCTGAGACATGAAAGTCAATGGGAGTTTGTCCTTGTGACAGTCATAGCAGCTGTCATCTGTTTTGATTGATGAATACGCAGATGTTGTTTGTGCTGAGTCTTAATGTGAACTGAGCTAAAACGTCAACCAGCGACGCTTTACAAATCTATAGATCAGGCTCCATTAGTTCCAGAGCTCAGAGAACTATTGTCTTAAACCTGTAAATAACCTGTAAATAGATGGAGCAAGATTGAATTGATTGTG